TTGCCATTTAGACTTATTCATATGCTTGCACAATCGCATAGAAATTAAAAAAACAAAAGCAAAAACAGAAAATCCCACAAAGCTAAATCCCTTCCCATTCCCAAATCCTCTCCAGCCAGAACTCTGAGCCTAGAAGGTCCCTGCCGAGCCACAGCTGAAAGCTAGCCAGAAGCTCCGTTTGTTTCCACCATGTAACCAGGTCTCTGGGGTTCTCAGACAAGGCTACCCTCTTGTCAGAGGGGATTTTGTTTGAACTGAAATCTCTGACTCTCGCTTGCCTTATTGATTTTAGTCCTTTCTCTTTTAGTACGTGATAGAAAATGCCTAGGAGGAGAACAGCTCAACAGGAAAATGACAAGGGTGCAAAGATAAAAATAAAACCAAGATGGTTCATGTTTTCACGAAATAGAGTCTGTGCTCAGGTTGTTTTTGTTCTTACCTTTCAATCTTCAGTGAGGCAGCAGGCCTGAGCCAAAGTATCAGAACATCTTGATACATTTTCCCTTTAATAACAGGCTTCTTAGTTACCATTTCTAAATATGAACTCATATCTCTTCTTAGAAATAAAAAAATCCTGTTCTATAAATGATTAACATTGCTGGTACTTATAAGGTAATAGAGAAAACTTGGGTGGCATGAGCTCCAACAGGAAGGGGCATTGGTAGCCAGAGAGTCCCTTTATTTGAAGGTAGCCTGGTGTCACTTCTGTTGACACTGACGTTTTGCTGAGGTAGAAGTCCTAGTCTGGTGGTATATAACCACGTTGGGAGGGTAAGCCGATTGTGTTCACCTGGGACAATGTTTTCCTTGTTTTTAGTGTTGAACTGGCGGCTATGTGAATGTAAATCCTGGGAACTGTACAGGCTGTCAGTGGTGGTCAAAGCCTCCTGAGTTCAAAGCAAAAACGCCCTCAAGAAGTACATACCGCAGCCTGGGGAGACGGGTGTGGGAGAAAGTGCTTGCCCATGAGCATGATGTCCTGGCTTTGATTCCCAGTGCGGAGAGGCAGGGACAGGAGGCTCCCTGCGACACTCTGGCCAGCTGGCCTGGCCTAATTGTCTAGCACTACACCAAAGAGAGACTTCATCAAAAAATAAAAAAAGCATAGCACACCTTGGCTTCCAGGGCACATGTACTCATATATGCTTTTATTTGCACGCGTGCGAGCACACACACACACACACACACACACACACACACACACACCATACACACCACATATGAAGTGCATATGTTGGACTCTGTTGTAGTCTTTTGGGGCTTATTTAACTTGTGAGTTCTCAGACTCAGGGCAGCCTGTGTGCTCAGCTACTCCAATGACGGATGGTATCTTCGTGCACTGGTTTATTTTCTCATTCATTCCTTTCATACATTGATCTCTAATCCTTACTTTGAAGTAATTTCACATTTAAGCAAATTGCAATTATAGCATAAAGAATTCCTGTAGGCCCCCTTACCTAGAGTTGCTAAATGTTAATATCACCAAATTTGAAAAGTCAACGTATGTGTATGTGTGTATATACATAGTCATGTTATTTTTATGAAACATTTGATAGTATATTGAAGATATGTTATTTTTACTTTTTCTCTTAACTACTTCAGTATTTTTTGTTACAAACAAGCACATTCTTTTATGCAATATAGCACATCGGTAGATATCTGCAAATGTTCATTGATATCACACAGTTTAACCTATATGCATAGGTTAAAATTTTTGTCAAGGGCTCCATTTTTCTTAATTAAAAATTTATGTTCACTGGTGTTTTGCTGGGAGCCTACCATGTGTGTGCCTGCTACCTGCAGAGAAGAGGGCAATGGGTCCTGGGAATGGGAGTTACAGTTAGTTTTGAGCCACCATGTAGGTGCTGGGAATCAAACCCAGGGCCTCTGCGAGAGCCATAGGTGCTTTTAACCACTGACACAGCTCTCTGGCTCCAATTCTTTCCATTTTTGTAAAGGACTTCTATTTTCATTACTTTGAGGAAAAGTATTTATATTCAGTAAGACTCATAGCAGTTCTATGCACAAGAGGCTCCTGCTGGCGTGGGCTGACTATGCATTCCTGGCCCAAAGCTTAAATGCTGGTTCCTAGGGTTCCTTGCTGTGGGTTTTAGTCTGTTTCTTCCCTCAGCTGTCATGAGCCATCGCCTATGCCTGAGAGGTAAGGATTCTGGTTTTGCTCTCTTTAGATGACCTTTCCCCATAGGGAGTGCCACGCCTTTTCCTGTGTGATAGGGTTTGCACATTTCCCGATCTTTATGCTGCAAGCCTCATTCTCAAGGTGACGTTGTTAGGATGTAGCCTTGGGGATGTGATTAAATCAAGAGGGCAGGGGTCTCATAAATGAACTAGTGTCCTCAGAATAGGTCCAGTGAGCTGCTATGCCCCTTACACCATCAACGTGAGAATGTAGCAAGAAGACACTCTCTGTGAACCAGAAAATGGCCCTCACCAGACAATGCCTCCTCCCCTGTCTGGATCTTGCTCTTCTCAGCCTCCAGAACAGTAAGAAATAGATTGCTCCATGTGTGAGCCCGCTGTCCCACAGTATTTGTTATGGTTCTTAGACAGAAAGAGGCAGTAGGGCTGTGGCTTCACTCCTAGGCCTGTACCACAGGGAAGTTTCTCCAGCCTCCCACCAGTCACTGCTGCCCAGTCTTCCGGCTTGCATATCTTTCTTCTGAGCTCTAGTGGGTACCAGAAGAGCAACCTGCATGTAGGTGTGATCTCCCCTTCTGCCTGTAGCCCCAGCATCCCATCATCTCACAGCATCCACATCGGCTGCTAGGAACAGGTCCAGAATTTTATCTGAGTCCTTCTTGCTAGATTATACATAACATCTGGTATTTCTGCCAGGAGAGGGTGTGCTGAGGTCCTGTCTTATCGTAGGGATCCAGTGTTTCCTAAGACATTGAGCCGACTGGTTGTCCCACAACTACAGGCCCATGACAGACTACGAAAGAGTTGTAACTTCACTTAGACACAGGGTCTGGGAGAAGTATCATGCCTTTCTAACAACTATGCAACATATTCCCTCAGGATATGGCTTCTCACGTTGTTGGGAAATTGCCTCACTTCTTAAAGGCAGTTAGTAATAAACCTTTATTGGACATCCTTTGTAATATCTGCCATAGAGATCTGAAATACTGCCTAAGAAACAATCATTCTGCATAATTGTTCGGAAGGTGTGGAATGCCTCCCAGACCCTCTGTCTAAGTGGAGACTTCCCAGTGATGATTCCTCACTATATAATAGTATAGCATTGCTTTTCACTATCTGTCTTCCTTTGGGATGGGGACAAAGCCAACCACTGGATTCCTTTGAATGTTCTTCTGTGAATTTTTTGTCTCTGTTGTACCTGACCAGTAGTCCGTCTGGACCCCTCAGCACAGATAGCAGCGATCAGTCTGAGGCATTGCCTCAGTCTGAAGCTTCCTTTTTTAACAACTATCTCCTTGGGTGAAGATGCCCTCACTCACTTTCACAAACATCAGAGGAAGCAGCAAACTTACACCGTGTCCTTCCCTGAGTCTTAAGACTGTACATGTAATATGTGGACTGTTTTCTTTTCAATTAAAACAAAAGATAGTAGAATTGCAGGCAGTTGTCTCCTCAGGGTCCCTCATACTTCTCTGTGGGCTAGCCACCGGGTCCACAGGTAGGCACATGCTTCTAAACTCCAGATGAGGTCCATGCCCTCTAGGGCCTATTTTCCTGTAAGTGTGAGGCTGGTCTGTCATCTTTACCTTCCTGCTTTTTGTATGCTTCATATGCTATTTAGCTGGCACCAGTTTCCTTGCAGAGTTCTGGGCCTCTCAGTATTTCCAGATTTCCTAGTGGGAAAAGAGAATCACTCTTGATTATAAAATGAACGAACCATGTCACTAACTTCTAGTATGCTGAAAGATACAACTTCTCAAGGGTGAGTCATCTTGGGTGTGTTCAGAGTTTGCAGTGCTACAGTCATTCCTTCTTGCTGGCCTCACTGTGTCACAGAATTAGGCTTGGCTAGAGGACACCAAGGTGAAAAGACATTCAGGGAACAAGTTCTCAAATTGGGCCACTTGCTTTGTAGGAACCTGCTTTGTATCTTGAATACAGGAGCCAAGAGTAGAATTCTATTCAGATCTATTCAGATGCACAGTAACTCCTAGAGCCCTATCATACTGTGCTGTGACAGATTGACTCCTGCAAAGTATTTATCTCTCCCTTCACCCATGAGTCTCTTTATGCTAGTGTGAGGTGAGGGCTAGGGTTAGAATTTTTATTGTACACACTGACATTCTCCTGATGTTGGTTTGGGTACTCCTGAGAGCATGACAGAAGGGAACTAAGATGGTCCTGCTAGCCCAGGATCTTTGGTACTCTGCCACAGACAAATAAATCACCAACTGATGCACACTTAAGTAAGGATTTGGGATAGATTTCTTAGGTATCGTTACTGTGACTTTGTGATTTATTAGTGATTATTTCTATTTCATATTCCATACCATGATGTTGCTTTTGCCCTTGTGTGTTTTGGGCAAGAGAGGGAATTAAGATGTGTGGAGGAGAACCAAAATCGAGTCCTGCCTGTTGCTGTAACTAATCAAAGATGTAACTAGCAGATTATAGCCAATTATATAAACAGCCCCTTATCCTTGGGCTGTTTGGAGGAAAATGTTTCATTGTTTCTCCCCATTACTAATATTTGCTTTTAGCACACATTAATAAATATAGGAAAATACAAAGAAAAACTGAGACATTAGCTATTTGTGAACAAGTATGCATACTCAAAGCTTTAGGTCAAGATAGAGGTGTCTATACCACATGAATGCTAGCAAATCAAGAAGCCTATCTCTATATGCGTATCTGTATCTACATATGTATTTTAATAACATCCTCAAAATTAGGTAAGTCTGCAGTACAGAAACTCACTGCAAGTGAGTTTCTAACTCCCTAAATATTCCGAGTTATTCTGGGGAATTAATAAGAACACATCTTTCTTATATCTCACATAGGGGGACCAAGGACCTCAAGGTTTTCCAGGGTCCAAGGGCTCAGTGGGCCATGGCCTCCCTGGCCAGAAGGTAAGTGAATTAGAATCTTATGGAAATGCCTAGGCACACAGTCTCGACTGCTTAGCCTTGATTTTGACTGAGATTTCATGCTTCCTGCCTCCTTTACATAATGAAAGGGCCGTCTGCGATAGAACCAAACACGGTATATTTTCCTTCATTCTTCAAAGGCAGCCAACAAAAGACTAAATCCTTATGAGGCATATGTCAGAGACACAGAAACCTCAGGAACCTGGTAAATTATACAACAGTTGAGTTTCCTGAAGGCAACGAGCTGATTAGAAGGTGTCTCAGTGCCTCTCAAGTGTAAATGACTTCTTTCCCCATGTGTATTTATATCAGTAAGAACGCCATGTCTTGAAGGGGATTTTAGTTGCAACAAACAAAACTGTAGGGTTTTTTTTTCTTATCTGGCATTAATGTTCACGATTTAAAGTTTATCTTTTAACCATATTATACAGGGAGACCATGGAGAACGGGGCGATATGGGAAAGAAAGGTGAAAAAGGAGAAATTGGAGAGCCTGGTTCTCCTGGAAAACAGGCAAGATATGGTTTTTCAAGCCTCATAATGGCTTTATAACTCTCAACTGGGTCTACTCTATCCTGAATGTTACTCCTTTTTTTCTACCAAGTAGGGCTTACAAGGACCAAAAGGAGACCTGGGACTTACGGTGAGTGTCTATCCTAGAGGGTAATTGAGGGGCCCATGCTTGTGAATTATTCATGTTGTAGCCCTAGAATTATGAATGCTTTGGGTGTTAGCTTGTTCTGTTTAAATAATGGTGTCTGCTGCCAGATCAATGTTGTCGTGGGTGCGGGAGGTAATTTCATCTGGATGAGGGGAGAAATCACAGTGGGAAGCCACGCTGAGCTGCATGTGAACAAAGAGGGTTGCTCTCTCTAGCCTCTGGTAGGAATGATCAGGTTGCTGTTATTGGCGATTAGGGAGTGATATGCTTAGAAGACATCTAGAGGCCAAATGAGCTTTTATTTCACTGGGCTTTTCTCACTTCAGGCTAGGGCCCCTTTTTTTCTTGTTCCTTAAGAAACTGCTGTAAGGCTAGTTATCTCAAAGCTGGAATTATACATAAGGTCACATTTACAGATGTGTTAAATGTCTACAAACCTTTTCTACTCTTTTTCACTCACTATTAAAAACAGCGACCAAAAGATGATTCTTTAAATGCTAATGGGCTAGGAGGTTATAGAGTTTTCCTAGCAAATTCAAACTCTTCCTTTCTGGTTAGAGATCCCCACATCTCTTAGAGATTAGACAAGGAGGCCTTCGGTTCTTCCTTTTTCTTTTTTCTTCCGCTACCAGCTGGGGATGCGGATCCCTTGGATAGTGGCAGGAAAACCTGGAAGGGAAGGGAGTCTGTCTGGTCATGACAACAGCATCCTTCTGTTGTCCCCCAGCATCCGTCAGATCCCCATGGCTACAGTGCGAGAAGAGCATGTGTGTGGCAGCTACCTGCTGACAGTGGCAGAGGCAGGAGTCTGTGCATAGCTTGAGATGTACCTTGTTGTTCTAACAGGGGGCAGGCGCAGAACTGGTTTCTTTCATCCAGACATTTGCATATCCATTTCTCTACCATTCCCCAAAAGAGTTCATCTACCAGCTGGGCAGTGGTGGTGCACACCTTTCATCCCGGCACTAGGAAGGCAGAGGCAGGTGGATCTCTGTGAGTTCGAGACCAGCCTGGTCTACAAGAGCAAGTTCCAGGACAGCCTTCAAAGCCACAGAGAAACCCTGCCTCAAAAAAACCAGAAAAATTAAAAAGAATTCATCTGCCATGTGATGAACATTTTGCTAAAAGAAGATTGGGGCGGGTGTGGTAGCTCAGAGAAGACAAAATGATGTGTGTTAATATTTGGGGCAAGAGAGACTATCCCTTGAACAAATATTGTTTTGGTTTTTTGCTATCTTTTTTTTTTTGTAAATGTATTCAACCTTGACGGCTTTGTACAGTCCCACAGAGGGATTCAGTAATTTCCACCCTTTACCCTCTTTTATCCCCTCCTTGTTCAGCTGAACCCCTTTTTCTCAAGAAGTTCCCCCTGAAACTTTCATGTTGTATGCATGCACGTATACATGAGTGTGTGTGCGTGTGTGCATGTGTGTGTATGCGTGCATGTGTTTATCACTGAATTTAATCAGGGCTGTTTAAATGAACATGGGCGGGAGGTTATTTAAAGAACATGGGCTGCTTTTCAGAGATTTCTGATGAAAATAACCCTCCAACCATTGATGACAGTGCCCAAAGAAGGAGTGAGGTCCCATGTGCCTCCCCCTAGAAAACATGGGCAGGTTTTGGGGAGACGGCCACAGTTGCAATAAGTTCATGAATGGAATGGCCATGTCATGCCTAGAAGACATCTTTTTATGGCACATCACCTTATACTTTGGCTGTTATAGTTTTGCCACCTTTTTTCCTGCTATGTTGCCCGAGCCTTGAGTGAAATGATATGAAGGTCCCATTTAGGCCTGAGCACTCACACCTCCATTACTTACTATTAGCATTTCAACCAGTTATGGGCCGCTGCATTAGTAACAAGAGACTGTTTTAAAGACTCAGTTCCTTCAGCTCCCTCTTCCCTGTCCCCTTCAGTGTTGGTATTTCCCAGTATCTGAAGTCAGGCTTCAGTTTCCTGTCTTCAGATTCACCAGGGAAGGTCAGCTGTTAAACACAAGAGGGTTTATAGTTTGGAAGACCAGTTGAATACCATAGTAAAAATCATGAACGTGAAAAAGTATGGCAATGCCTGAAGAGGAGAGACTTGTAGTAGATTTCTCTTTGGGCTGCTAGCTCTCAAATAATGGCACAGAGACTTGTTATTAATTATGAGAGCTTGGCCTATGGCTTAGGTTTCTTCCCAACTAGCTCTTGCAACTTAACCCATTTGTATTCATCTACATCCTATCACGTGGCATTACTTCTCTTCTGTCTTGCGCCTTCTGTTTCTTCTCTGTATGGCTAGAGACTCTACTCTTCTTCTTCCCAGAGTCCTCTCTGTCCACAGAAGTCCCACCTAACCTCTTTCTAGCTATTGGCCATGCAGTTTTTATTACAACAATCACAGCAATATAACTTCACACAGTGTACAAATATCCCACAACAGAGAGCACTGCTGACACCTTCCTCTTAGATAATTTGATTAGTGAAACCGAGCATCATATTGAGAGGAATCACTTTTTTTCTTTGTCATAAAACTATTGTTAGATGAAAATAACATCAATAGTCTCCATGATGCTGCAGTTAATTTAAGTAAGCTGTGTCACCAGTTACATATATTGTGCTTACCCCAATTCTATCATTATGAATTTGTTCTTTAAAGTTTCCTTTTGTGTGCCTGTTAGTTTTGTCTTCTTACATTGACTCTGCCGTTCTTTCCTGTTGAGATCTAGGGTCCTGTTAACCATCACTTTCAGCGCCATGTGTCTAGCAAACACAGACTCTGGCCCCTGTTATCTCACCCGGTCCTTATAAACGAGCAACGAGCAACAAGCAGTACACAGTGCTGGTGGACTCACTTTGGGAACCTCTAGTCAGAGCAGATAGACAAGTTCTATGCCTGTCGATAGAGCAGACAGGCAACGGGACAGGAAGGGGCTTTTAGAAATATGAGGTCATTTCATAAGGAATCAAGAAGAATCGTAGGAAATGGAGGAGGGGACTTTAAGAAATGAGTATTTGAACAGAAGGATCAAGAATCGGTACCTCTAGGCCTCAGCACATGGTCTAAATCATTTGCCAATTGGCACCATGCCTATGGAGGCAGAACTAGCTGGGCTCAGCCCTTGTACATTCATTTCATGTAATCTGCATCATCCGCCCAAGACCCAGAAACTCTCATGTCGTCTGACACCCTGGGTCTCACTCTCATGCTGTCTGACATCCCAGGTCCACTCTCGTGTCATCTGATAGCCCAGGTCCCACTCTTATGTCGTCTCACAGCCTGGGTCCCACAGCTGACATGTATTGGGAGATATGATTTAAGGTCTAAAATTCAGAACTACCAAGTTTCACTATTCAGCCTGATTAGATCCAACTTCCAACTATTGTGCTATTTGCTTAATTTTCTCCAGTGACGGAGTGAATCAGATGATCCAATGACAATTCTAAGACAAATCTCTCAGGGTTATAGGAAGCATACTATAGTTATAATCTTAATGTTAATGCATTTTCCTTTTTCCCCAGAAAGAAGAAATTATCAAACTTATTATTGAGATATGTGGTAAGATTTAATTACCAAGAAAGTGAAATGTCCTGTACAGTATCAGCTCTAATGTGTGCTGTACTGGAGAGCTAATGTTCAGGAGATACTTGTACATGGCTGGTAGGGAAATGGGAGGCTCATCTGAAAAGTCAGTGGAAAATGGAGAGTGACATTGGGGGAGGCTGTAGGAACCCTGGGAGGCAATTGTTGTCTTGTTTCCTCAAGACTAGCTGGAGAGTAGGAGGGCTCCAGCGTATGGGTAATAGAGAGGAGGAAGGTGTGGGTGAGTAAGGGAGAGGGGAGGGGGAGGGAAACGGGATTGGTATGCAAAGTAAAAAAAAAGATTGTTTTAAAAAAGAAAAAAAAAGTAATACGCTCATCCATAGTCAATGGCACACCTGAGCCTGGTAAGAAAACTGACATAATGGAAAATCGGTTGCAAAAGCCCAGTGGGCACCTGGAGACTAGCTAATGACTATCACATGCTTTTCCCTCAGCTGGGATGTCTTTCCAAAGTGAGTTTCAATGTGATTTCTGCAACTGTGTTCTATCTCACAGGCAGGAAGATTTCAGGGGTTCACCTTGTTTCGCAAGGAAATCTAAATTCCTCCATGGCGAACACTTTAGACTCAGGGTTACCAGAAAGAGGGAATAATGACAAAGTTTAACTAAAGGAGACGATGAACGGGATAATGATGACTTTTGTGTTTGCAGCAGACAGAAGCAAGAAGAGCACTAAACCCCAGCATGTCTTAGTCTCTAGAGAACTAGCCTGAGACAGCTGGTATTTGGACAGTTAAGACACGACTTCTAGATTAGATTTCTGGGGACCCTGATTCTGAATGGTTGCTTATTGACCGTATTTTCTGGAATCCCTCTTGTCAAAGAGTTCATGGTACAGATGGACTGCTGGCCTCCTTGATAGCATGGGAACCATAATAATCCTCACAGTGGGTGACGAGTCACTGCCTAAGCAGCTGCTCTTGTGTAGACTCCAGGGCCCTAATTTACCCCCTAATTAAACATTTTCATCCTGTCACTTTATCCATCTGGCATCTCCAGTGTCACTTAAAGATGTGGTTGAAGGTTAAAATAGCAGCTTTGGGATGTAGCTTAAATACAAACTGTAGAATAAGGAGAGCAAATTCAGGACAGCTGTCACCACTGGGAGAGGAATGGAACCAAGAAAGCTTACACAGAACATGCCAAATTCTAAAAGGGTTAGACATATAGGTGTTTATTGCCTGCTACACTGTAGTTCTACTTTTTTGTTGTGTGGCACCATTAGTGGGGATATAAAAACAAATGTTTGTTCAACCCAGATAGGGAACCGATGACAGATCAAAGTAATAATGTTACCAAAGCCCAACTTGGTGAGCCAATGAGTTTATTGGGCTACTCACAGGAGTATACTGGAGGTGTTATTCACAAGAATATAAATGACTCAAAGACACTAATATTACCAGAAGACAAACCTCGCATGGGTGTCTGCTTTAAAAAAAAATTAGAATCTCAATTCTAGAACTCTCTGTTAAAAGACTAGAGAATTGCTTCCCTTCAACAGGCCCTTATGTTTCTGTATGAATCTGGTAAGTTTCAGAGACTTTCTAAGACTTGTGAGTTGTTGATTTCCTCCTTTTAGAACTTCCTTCATCTTAAGGAACTTCCATCCAGGTTAGAATATTTCAATTTGGAGGGAATTTCTACAGACAGTCCGCCATGTGTATTTTCTTAAAAGAACAAAACATGGAGTCCAAAAGAGGAGTGAGTTATAAGCTATTCCTACTGTAGCAGGAAAAGAAGACAAAGCTTTGGTTTATTCCCACCCAGCTTGACATTCTCCTATAGTAATGTTGATCTATGATGGTTTCTTTCTCATTTCTGAAGCATTTTTATTTTCTATCTTCATCGTTTAGGTTGTGGGCCCAAATGCAAAGAGACTCCACTGGAGTTGGTGTTTGTGATTGACAGTTCAGAAAGTGTGGGCCCAGAGAACTTTCAGATCATCCAAAATTTTGTCAAGACTCTGGCTGACCGGGTAGCCCTGGACCTTGCCACAGCCCGGATAGGCATAATCAACTACAGCCACAAGGTGGAGAAGGTGGCTAGCCTGAAGCAGTTCTCCAGCAAGGATGACTTCAAGCTGGTGGTAGACAATATGCAGTATCTGGGGGAGGGGACCTACACAGCCACTGCCCTGCAAGCAGCCAACGACATGTTCAAGGAGGCAAGGCCAGGGGTAAAGAAGGTGGCCTTGGTGATCACTGATGGACAGACAGATTCCCGAGATAAAAAGAAACTGGCAGACGTGGTGAAGGATGCCAATGACTCCAATGTGGAAATATTTGTGATTGGGGTGGTGAAGAAAGATGACCCCAACTTTGAAATTTTTCACCAAGAAATGAATCTCATCGCTACTGACCCAGAACACGTTTATCAGTTTGATGACTTCTTCACTCTGCAAGGTAAGGGTGTCTGCCACCGTGGAAAGGAGTTTAGGTTGTTCTTTGCAGTGTCACACCACTAGGTTATCCTGACAAAGTCCAGAAATCAGGACGTTAAAGAGGATTATGTCAACACTATGTTGTAAGCTATAAACTGCAGAATGTTGAAGACTCGGTGTTGTGACATTGAGTGCGGAGGGGACAGTCCTGTATTTATTCATGTGTAGTGAGTGCTCAGTTGGCTGTGGAGGTCAACTGGAGTTTCCATGGCTGTAGATAAGGATGAAGGGAAAGAATGGGACCTTTGATATTGTGACTATGGGTTACTGTTCAAAAGTTTCCTAACTAGAAAAAGGGCTGTAGCAAGCCAAAATCAAACAAAGCTGGCATTGAAAAGACATTTTAAAAACTTGATGATAAAGTTACAGAAGTCTAAGGAGATAAGAAATGCAAGTGATGGGGATTAGAGGTCATGTTCGAGTTGCTTGCTTTATGCTATCAATTTATCTTAAAGAATAACCTTTGGAAATATGTCACTATGCTAACCTGGTGGGCATTCTTGTATGAAATGTTTTTTCATATTTACTCTTACTTGCTAATGGGACTACTAATGTGTAGCTGAGCACTGCCACACTATCTTAGGCCCTTCCTACACCAAGTACCAAAACCATCAGCCATAGGGGTAACATACCATGCTCAGGGGTGATGAGCAGGAGTTTCATTTCCTCAATGTTCTGTGGGCTAACTGGTAGGCTCATCTGATATATTTGTTTTCACTGGGCTGTTCATGTTATAATGACCAGAAGTATCACACATTTAAGAAAATTGTTACATTTTACCAATTGAATTAAGGCTTTATCATCTTATCTGAGAGAGTTTTTAACTTGTTACAGTAATAAATATCATATTTGGACTAATTGGGGTTTCGTTAGCCCTAAAACCAGATGCAATTGCTCATTTTACATCGTATTAGGAGGCTAGTCCTGTCCACAGAATTACTCAGGGTACTGGCATTTTGGATAAATGGGCATTGATGATACTTATGCCATCTGTATTATTGTTTTACTACATACAGAGATTTGACATAGTCTTTTACAGATAATAAAAATGTTTCCTATTGTAGCTAACTTAGCAGTTCATATCAAATGATGGGAAGTATCTTATTTAAGGACATTGCTGATATCTTTAAGTAGGATTGAGTAAAGTTCCACTGCTTTCACTAAACCCCCTTTTCTGCTTCTGTTTGAAAAGATACTCTGAAGCAAAAATTGTCTAAAAAAATTTGTGAGGATTTTGATTCCTATCTCATTCAAGTTTTTGGACAATCATCCCTTCCACCTGGATTTGGGATGTCAGGTGAACAGCTTGGCACATCCACTCCAAAGCCCTCAAGAGAAATTTCCGAGTTGGTAAGTAAATGTGAGTTGATGGGTAGCTGTGAGTTGGTAACTATAGGTCAAGTAGCTGTGAGTTGGTAAGTAACTATAGGTCAGGAAGTAGCTGTGAGTTGGTAAGTAACTATAGGTCAGGAAGTAGCTGTGGGTTGGTAAGCATCTGTAGGTCAGCAAGTAGCTGTTGGCTTGCTCCTTGAACTTAAATGGTGTAGTCTTTTTGATATTGAAAACATTGTCCCTGCCCTGCCTGCTCAGAATCAGCTGAGGTATGTGTAATTTTAGGTCCTTGGATCCAAGCATTAACACCTTGATGGTAGATTTCTAGTTCTGAAATAGCTCTGGAACTTATAGCGTGAAGATGGGATTAATTTTTTCCATATTTGCTAATAATTTATTGAGTATCACGAATAATATATATATTTTTTAAAGATTTATTTATTATGTATACAGTGTTCTGTCTACATGTATGCCTGCAGGCCAGAAGAGGGCACCAGATCTCACTACAGATGGTTGTTGGTCACCATGTGGTTGCTGGGAATTGAACTCAGGACCTCTGGAAGAGCAGCCAGGGCTCTTAACCTCTGAGCCATCTCTCCAACCCCATATTTTTTAAACTGTTACCATCATTGTAAACATGTGCCCTGGAACAGATTAATACTATGTTATTTACATCTACACTCTTGTTGTAATTTGCAGATTCTCTAATAACAGGCTATAGTTCTCCCTCATTCATTAATGTGTATCCACATTGTCCCCTCTCAAATTTTCCCAATGTTTACACATATGTCCAAGTGTCAGCCTCCCAAGTTCATACCACACTTTTGTCCTTCAGAATTTCTACTTATGTTCATGGAATGGGAGGGGTAGGACTGTGCATGTTCATTGTACAAGGTGGTCTCATGGTTGGAGATTCCCGGTGAGGATAGCTGCCTTCTGGAGGTAGAGTCAAACATGACTGCCTTCTCAGCAAACTTCTGGGAAGTGACTTAAACCAGTGAGATCCAGAGAAAACTGGAGAGTCTCCCATGGTTACTTGTAAGTGCTTAATTCAATCTCTTCCTCACCATGTGCCAACTAAAGCCAGTTTAGACTGACATCTATGCTATGGATCTTGTTTAGAAACTGTGGAGGGGCTCGTGTGATTATCCGTTCAGTTCAGTAAAGCCTCTTTGTTGTTCTTTTATGAAAGTTTTATTAATACCAGGCAAGTGCAACAGAATTCTAGCGCCAGGGCTTGACTGACTAGATGAAGACCCCAGGAGACATTAGGATCAGGAGCCAGAGGCAGGCCTGTGGTGGAGTCAGGCCCAGGGTACCATTCATCCCTACAGGCACAGATTACAGAACTCACTAGATTTCTCTTCCTTATTCAGAAAGGGCAGAAAGTCCCCTGGCATTCTCCCATCTGTTGGAATATTGACTCCAAAAGAGTATTTATGTTAGGGCAAGAGACTTACACCAAATTGTTTTAATCCACACCTACAGATGCATACTAATGGTCATAGCCTGAATACTTTTGACTGACAGGCCATAGAATTTCTGTTTCAACTTGTTAGTTTTGTCTTTGAATTGCAAAAGTAGTTATAGAAAATACGTGAATAACCATGATTGTGCTCTAATAAAACTTATGTAGCAAATGTAGGCTGGGATATGACTGAGTGATAGAGGTTGTTTTCAATCCACAACACTCAAACCAAAGTAAAATATATTTATAAAGGCAAGTGAAGATGAAGATTTGGCCCAGAGGGTTTTCCTGGCCCCTGTCTATTTAAAATATTTTAAAGTAAATTGCAGACAATAGTATATGGCCAGGGATGTTTCCTTTTGACATTGTTACTTGACACTGTTGCAGTCTACAAAATCCATACTAGAGAGCCACAGAACTGAGTCACAATAAATAAATAAATAAATAAACCATAATTCTTTGTCTTAGTCATTGTTCTATTGCTGTGAAAAGACACCATGACCATGCCAAGTCTTATAAAGGAAAACACTTAATTAGGGCTTGCTTACACTTTCAGAGGTTTAGTCCATTATTGTCATGGTGGAAAGCATGCAGGCAGACATGGTGCTGAAGAGGTTCTACATCTGTATCCTCAGGCAACAGGAAGAGCGAGAGAAACAGTGGACCTGGCTTGAGCACTTGAAATCCAAAAGCCCACCCTCAGTGACACACTTCCTCCAAAGCCACACCTCCTAAACACTATCAAGTGGCACCACTTCCTAACATCCTAGCATTCAAACCTATGAACCTACCGGGGGTCGTTCTTATTCAAACCACCATGTAAGCTGACAAATTTTTGTTGTGCTACACCCCATGGCTGTCCTTGGTGGCATATGCCTCACCCTGTAAGCAAGGATTTCTCTTACCACTTGGTCTTCCAGCTGAACCAAGTTACCAACTTCCTAATAGGCATTTTGGCATTTTCTGAAGTCTTCCTTAAAGAGAACAAGCCAAGGTTTCATCCAACAAGTGTATAGAGAGACCGCTCTATACTAACTGAACCATAATTTGTTTGTGTAATTTGGTTGCCAGGAGTACATCTTGGCAATTCACTGCCATCGTGTGTTGGCTTTGCCCCCATGCTTTATTAGAAAGCTTGAATAACTCTAAGATGCACTGATCCACTAAGAGTGGTGGCAGAGGGGTGTCTGGAGCACAAGAAGTGGGACAATTACTTTCAGGAGGGGAAGTAGCAAATACTGAGCTCTACTGAGGCTAAGGGTGAAAATATGACGCACTGGCTTAAATGACGAACATTTTCATTATTCTGAAGACTGGGGGCAGGGGTCTGATTCTAATGCTAGGCTCACTTCTTGGCTTACAAGCTGGCACTTTCTTGTTACCTTCTCATATGATGGAGAGACAGCTGATATATCTCTTCTTAGAAAATCAATAATATCATTCACCAGATCCCCTTATAGCCCCAACACTTCCCAAAGGACACACCTTCAAATACTTTTACTCCAAGTTTTAATATGTGAATTCTGGAGGAACACCAATTTGGTTCATAAAAAGGAGCAGACCTTTTTCTCATAATGGGTTGTCATCAGTAATTTCTTAAGGGGAGAGTAGAGGGAAAGGTACTCCTAGCCCAGGAAACATGTAAGAAGTGTAGGTGTGGGTTTCAAAGTTCATGCATGGGATTTCAAGAGAAGAGAAAGACTTCAGTCCAGTTAGTAAACTAAGGTATATGTGGCAAAATGGAGGATTTTAAAGCTGGACTGGTACTTTGAAAACGAATTACAAATGGTTTCATATGTCATGCCAAGGAGTCTGAACTTTGTCCACAGACAAGACAGCTAGGTGGGTGGGTAGCATTGTGTAAAGCAAAGGCCACATGGTCACAGTTGTTTCACAGGAAGAATAACTGGTTATAGAAGGGAAGATAGGAGGAGAGGGTGAGGAGACTGTGATAAGAATCTTGATGAGAGGTTATAAGCTTATAAATAAACTGAGCAGGGGCAATAGAAATAGAAAGGTGTAGATTAGGAAGCTTTTTCCAGGTAGAATTACCAAGATTTGGTGAGTTGGCAGTTAGAGCAAAGGCGGGTTTTGATGTGACCATGGGGATACTAGCTTAAAGATAAGATAGATTGAAATGCCATAGACTACAAAGAAGACTACATGGTAGAGGGTGGGAGTAGGGAGAGAAAAACTTTTTAAAAGGAAGATAATGAAGTTTGTTTATACCATGTTAAGTGTCTTAGTAGTATCCAAGGAGAAGTTAACATAGGAATGAGGAACAAGAGGGCCGGGCCGCATGCCTTTGGTATGGTATCTAGGAATTCCAACCACCCTGAGAGGCAAGTGTCTTTAACAGATGATGACAGGAAAATCACTTTAGCTGGGGGTGGGGGTAGTAAGATATTGGAAGCTTGCAATGAATCCAAACTTCTTGGAATGCTCCTGAGTCAGTAGGTTTTCTTAGTAGGAGAATTTGTAAGCAACTAGTTTCCCAAACTATTTATTCTGAGCAGACTTATGTACATTTATATTCAGCTTAAACCTTTGAGATACCTGAAAAATCTCATTGGTTAAAAATAGATGGACATGCACAGAAATGAAATGTTATTATAACTGTGTCCATATATAAATAGCCATCATCTTAGTCACTGTTCTACTGCTGTGAAGAGATACCATGACCAAAACATCTCTTACAAAAGAAAGCCTTTAATTGGGGCTTGCTTACTATTCTAGAGAATTAGTCCGTGATCATCATGTTGGGAAGCAGACAGTCATGGCATTGGAGTAGTAGCTGAGAGCTTTACATCCTGATCCATAGGTAGCATAGAAAGAGAGAAAGAGAGAGGGGGTAGAGGAGGAGATGAGCTTGAGATGGGTTTTTTGAAGGGCTGCCTCTAACAAGGTCACACCTGCTAATCCTTCCCAAACAGTTCCACTAACCAAGGGCCAAGCATTTAAACATAGGAGCACATGAGCCCATGAGGGGCATTCTCATCCAAACACCCAGCTCTATTCTGTGCATGAGTATCTATCTGTATAGCTGTAACATCCAAGCATCTAAAAGAAAGTGAAATAATCAAAGTCTTTAGGTTCTCAAAATGTTTCCAAGTCTGTACTAGGCCGTATTACACAGTAGGTAAATTCTCCTAGAAGTCCCATTTTGTCTCTGTCTTTTGAGGGTCTAACTATGTATCTCTGATTGTCCTGGAACTCTGAAGTATATCAGGCTGCCCCTGGTCACCACAGAAATTCACCTGCCTCTGCCTCCAGAGTGCTGGGACTGAAGATGTGCATCACTATGCACGGCTTGACCATAAATAGGAATTTATAAAACCAAAAGTCTTCTGATTTGGGTGGAGAGACAGCCTATGGAATGGTTAAAATACCTTTACCACCCATACATCTTACAAAGAGTTAAAGAGTTACTATCTAGAATATACAAAGTACCCCCCCTCATTGTTCTTGGTGTTTTTTTTTTTCTAGCCCCATGTTGGAACTCCAAAATGTTGTTGATTTTTTTATTCTTTGCTCTTACTCTTTGGCTCTT